AGGGCGGTCCTGGGGGTGCGGGGACGGGACACCCCCGGGGAGGTGCTGCGACACCCCCGGAGGGGTGCAGAGCCGCGGGGGTTGGGGGGTGGTAGGTGACGCAGTGGCATTGGGACGTCTTTGTCCTGTGTGCCCTGGTGAGGTCACCCCGGGGGCAGCAGGATGGGGTCAGGGGCGCAGAGTCGGGGTGGACAGTACTCCCTTCCCTGTTCCTGGGCTGGACTGGATACTGCTAGTGGAGTTGAACACTGTCTCCTTCCCAGTTCCTGGGCTGGGGTGGACACTGCTCCCTTCCCAGTTCTTGAGTGGCGGTGGACACTGCTTTCTTCCCTGTTTCTGAGCTGGGGTGAACACTGTTCCCATCCGTGTTCTTGGGCTGGGGGTGGACACTATGCTCTTTGCAGTTATTGGGACTGGGTGGACACTGCTCCTTTCCTGATTCCTGAGCTGTGGTGGACACTGCTTCCTTACCATTGCCTGAGCTGGGACCAGGCTGGGCTGGGGTGAGGCCATGCATGCAAACTGAACTCTTTCTCTCTTGTCCCCCAGATGAACCGTTCTCCAACCCTCTGGCCCCTGATGGCCACGATGTGGACGATTCACACTCCTTTCACCAGTGAGTACAGCACTGAGCTGACACGGGGGCAGTGGGATGACACTGGACCAGCACTATGTGACCCCAGACCCATTCCCATCTGGATGCTGGGAGTTGCTGGTGTAGCCCATCCTTCAGGTTCCCTCCATGGGGGCCCTGTGCTCATCACACAGGAGCTGCTGCTTCCTGGGAAGTTGTTGAGCATTGAAGCCCTATGGGGAAGACATCTCTTGTTCCCTCTCTCCCTTGCAGGTCCAAGCTGACAAATGAAGACTTCAGGAAGCTTCTTATGACCCCGCGGGCTGCGCCAACATCTGCACCACCCTCCAAATCTCGCCACCATGAGTGAGTAGAGCTCTGTTTCACAGGACCATGCGATAATCCATGGCCACTTTCCCTCTGGGGCTCCATGCCTGGCTGACCCTGTCCCCCTGCACTCTGCAGTGGAGTATCTACAGGGGATTTTGCCAATGAGCATCTGAAATGGATAAGCAGGTGGATCAGGGCTGCTGCAAATAACAGAGTGAGGCTTTCTGTTAAGACACTCTGCAGGAGGCAAATTCGGGTTTTGTTTGAAGAAAATCAGAGCTTTCCCATCCTCTCCAATGCAGACAGAGTGGAATTAGGGAGAAACTAGGGAGAGAGACTGTGCTGTCTCCCTCATGGTCCATCTCTGAGTGCCTCAGTGCCCTGCTGTTCTCTCCATCTTCAGTCTACGTTGCTCTGCAGACTGTTCATGTGTTTTCTCACCATTTTCCAGGATGCCCCGGGAGTATAACGAGGATGAAGATCCAGCTGCTCGCAGGAGGAAGAAAAAAAGGTAAATGGGGAAAGCAGTGTTTTTGGGAAAGGTGAAGGTTCCGCACGGGGAAGCAAGCGGCCGACTCCGTGTGGGTGATACAGCAAGCTCCATCTTTACTGTCCGACAGGCTCTTTTTTATACAGTGCAGAAGCAGGCATACAATTATCCATCATTTTTAATTGGCTAGGCTCTAAAGATAGCATTCAGGTACTCCCCTTACTCACAGCTGCAGCTGTGAGGCTTATCTCCTGCTTTCCCAGGCTTGGGTGCATTCCTAGCTGTTTTTCTCGAACCTGTTTGTTTCACCCTCAAGGACGAGTTACCCCTGCCATCTGCCATCTGCCCAGCTGAGTTACTCTTTATCTATATATAAGTTACTATCTCCAGAGCCTTGCTTGTACACACTGCATTCCCAGGTGCGTTCCCAGGACTGTGTCTGTACTTTCCCAGGGGACTGTGGCCTAGCTCTTTTTGGCCTTCCCCAGGATTATATCCCTGCTCTCTTAGCCATTCTCTAACACAGTGTATCAGGGCTTGTTGTTATACATCATGTCTCTTTTGTGGAAGCAGCTTCTGAACTTTTGGGGCTGCCAAAGAGGACCCTGAGTGGATTGTTTTGGAGCTTTGGAGAAGAGCTCAGCCTGAGGGACTGTCACTGCCTGTGGGAACAGCTGAGGGAGGGTGGCAGCAGGATGAGGGTGAAGCTGCACCTGTGGAAGAAGCAGGAGAGGCTCTGTGGTTGTGTGATGGAGCAGGGCAGTGGTCACTGTCCTTTGGGGCACATCTATGCAGCCTTTGGAAGAGAAGACTGAGCTTTTCTTAGTTGACCTCAGTACAGCAATTTCCTCTTCTCTGGTGTCCTACAAATGTGTTGCACGTTTTTGCTCCAGTATGTTTTTGGGGAAGGGGTTGGAAGCAGAACAGGCCTGTGTGGGCCTTCAGGGCCTGTTACGTGATCTCAGAAACACAAATTTATCACTCTTAACCCCGACGTGTTCTCTCCCCACAGCTACTACGCAAAGCTGCGGCAGCAGGAGATCGAGCGCGAGAGGGAACTGGCTGAGAAGTACAGAGACAGAGCCAAGGAGAGAAGAGATGGAGTGAACAAAGATTATGAGGAGACAGAACTGATTAGCACAACTGCCAACTACAGGGCTGTGGGGCCCACGGCCGAGGCGTACGTGAGCTGTGGTGGGGCCTGGGCTTGCCAGGCTGATCCACAGGGGCTGGCTGCTAACTGCCTCCATTCCCCTTCCACAGGGATAAATCTGCTGCAGAGAAGAGGAGACAGCTGATCCAGGAGTCCAAGTTCTTGGGTGGTGACATGGAGCACACTCACTTGGTGAAGGGTCTGGACTTTGCGCTGTTGCAGAAGGTGCGTGTGGACACCACTGTGCTGCTCTTCTGCACTGTTCCCTCCCACGGGCAGAGAGTTGGTGTCACTGCTTCAGTCTTGTCAGCATGGATTTCCCTTTCTAGGAGGGGTTACTGAAGGGTCAGGGAGCTGCTTGAAGTGGCTCACTGGTTCTGATGGGCAGCAGTGGCATGGGGTGGGCTGTAATGTGTGGATGTGCTTCACATCCAGGTACGGGCTGAGATCGCCAGCAAGGAGAAGGAAGAGGAGGAAATGATGGAGAAGCCTCAGAAGGAAACCAAGTGAGTGGTTGAGGACTTTGCACTCCTGAGTGCAGCTGCCTTCCAGAGAGGAGAATGCAGAGAAGGTTTTTGCTTGGCATAATGCTTCTGTTTTGTGTTTCTGTTCAGGAAGGATGAAGATCCTGAGAACAAAATCGAATTTAAGACCCGTCTTGGTAAGACTGTGTGGATGTGACTGTTCCACACCTTGTGTTGTGCTGTGAATGTGGAGAAATCCTGGAGGGTAAAGGGAGGAATGAAAATCTTTAGTCATTGAAGAGGGAGAGTCCAGGATTTGAGGGCTGGAGGAAGTGTGTCCCTTAGGAGGCGAGTCTCCTGTTGCTGACAAACTGAACATGCTTCACTCTGGGCTTTTCCATTGCTTTCCCACACTTTTCCTTCCTCTCCAGGCCGCAACATCTACCGCATTCTGTTCAAGAACAAGACCTATGAGCGGAATGAGCTGTTCCTTCCGGGCAGAATGGCCTATGTGGTGGATCTGGATGATGAATATGCTGACACCGACATCCCGACCACACTGATCCGCAGCAAGGCTGACTGCCCCACCATGGAGGTACCCAGCTGGCTCCCAGCCTGCCTGACCTCACTGCTCTGAACTGGCCAGAGCAGGTTTTTCTTTGTAAGGTTTTTCCTTGTAAGGGAGCAGGATGCTTCCTCATGAATTTCCCTTTCAGGCACAGACCACACTGACCACCAATGACATTGTCATCAGCAAGCTGACACAGATCCTCTCCTATCTCAGACAAGGAACTCGCAACAAGAAGCTCAAGAAGAAAGACAAAGGTAGGAGCTGAAGGGATCTGAATAGTAATACTTTAGTGCTTGGATCATATCCCAAGGGAATTTGGTTTGGGGGTTTCCCCTGTGCCATGAAAGGTGGGCTTAGAGCAACTTCCTGAGCTCTGTGTCCTTGTTGGAGTGGGATCTGGACCCGGAGTAACGATGAGTCTGAATATGAGTATGGTCGGTCTCCCTTAGTACTTACAAGATATGTATAGATATTCACACAGTGTACGCGAACGCAGCGGATACATGATTGGTTTATTGCCCTTGTCCAAGTGTCCAGGGCAAACTTATGATTGGTGCAAGCAGGTGTCTGTCCACATTCCAGGATGTTCTCAGGAATTCCAGGGAGCTTGTTGACACCAGACTCAGAGCCGGTCAGAGCCAGCTCTGCCAGGCAGAGCTTGCTCCTTATCAGCAGGTTCAAGGCTCGGTCACAGCTGCTGTAGGCCTTACATCACACTACAAGCTGGGTTGTCAGCTCCAAGGAAATCACGTCCCTTTTCGCAGAGCCATTCCTCCACATGTCCTGAAGGCAGGAGCACATGGGACAGGCTGCTGGCAAAGGAGAGCTGTAAGAGTGCCTTGTGCTGCTCTGCTCTTCCCAATGAAGGCCCAGTTCCTTGGGAAAATGTCCCCTGCTGGGGGAAGCACACAACTTCCTGAGGGGACAAAATATGATGTGGTGACATCCTCTGGGGCTGCCACTTTTGAGGCTTGGAACCTGGACTGGGGACAGGGAAACAGCACAGGTAGCAGGGCAGATAATGTACTTCTCACTACTGTTTGTCCTTGTAGGGAAGCTGGATGAGAAGAAACCTCCTGAAGCTGATATGAAGTAAGTGCCTCCCTGCTCACAGGCTGTGGGGTCACAGCTCTTAAGGAATGTCAGGTTTGGAGAGGGCTGGGTGGGGAGCTGCTGGATGTGCAATTTGTGGGACAAGGCTGGAGGCAAGCTCTGGTTTGGATTTCAGGCTTGAGACAGGCAAGGGCTGGTACCCTGGACCACAGGACCAAAGCCAGTTCCACAACATTTGGTGTCCTTAGCAGTCAGTGCTGGTGCTGTGTGCTCTGTTAGCAGGTTCCAGTCCACAGGGAGCTGGTTGTGGCCTCTGCTCCTGCAGCACCCATAACTGCAGGCTCTTTTCCCACTTGTAGCATCTTTGAAGACATTGGGGATTATGTGCCCTCCACTGCCAAGATGCCACGGGACAAGGAACGGGAGAGGTACCGGGAGAGAGAGCACAACAGGGACCGGGAGCGTGACAGGGACCGGGACAGGGACAGGGAACGCGATCGGGACAGAGAGCGTGACCGGGAGAGAGAGGAGGAGAAGAAGAGGCACAGCTACTTTGAGAAGCCCAAGGCTGATGATGAGGTGAGCCTCTGCACCTGAAGGACTGTCCCACCTGATGTCTGCCCTTTGGGGAGTGCATCTGTGAGGTTGAGGGAGGTCACCCTGGTGGATTTGGATGTCTCTGGTCCACGTGCCAGTGTCAGCTCTTGCTGAGCTCTGTCCCCAGGAGCTGCTGCACCACTGGGTGCTTGTCCTCCTTCAGCAAGTGAGGCAGGAGCAGCATAAACCTTTGTGGTTCAGTTCTGAGGGCTTGGTGGAGTCTTAAAGCAGAGCTGCACGTCATGCAGCACTGTCACTTGCCTGTCTTCACTCTTCGAGTGTGACACCATGTCTCTCTCTCTTTGCAGCCCACAGACATGGACAAAGGTGAGTCAAGTGCTGTGGACACCTGAATGAGGCTGTATGGGGTTCAGGATTTCAGAACCACTTGGCCCACTAGTCTCTGTGAGCTCCTGTTCTCCCAGAGACCCTGAGGGAATTGCCATGAGGCTTTGGGAGTGAAGAATCTTATGCATATGGACTGTGCAGAGGCAGCAGAGCAGCTCAAACAGCCTTGTGCTGCCTGTAAGATGAGGAGGATTCTGTGGAGAAGGCTCTGGGCTCCTCATTGTTGCCTTCCAGCACTTAGAGGGTTTATAAAAAGTAGGGAGAGTGACTTTTTATATGGGCAGACTGATAGGACAAGGGGAACAGTTTTAAACTGAAAGAGGAGAAATTCAAATTAGATATTAGGAAGAAATTCTTCCCTGTGAAGGTGGTGAGGCACTGGCACAGTTGCCCAGGAAAGCTGTAGCTGCCCCATCCCTGGAAATGTTCCAGGCCAGGTTGGAGGGGGCTTGGAGAAACCTAGGCTAGTGGAAGGTGTCCCTGCCCATGGCTGGGGATTGAGAATGACCTGAGCTTCGAGGTCCCTTCCAACCCAAACCATTTTGAAGATTCCAGATCTCCTAGGATCAGCCCATTCCTGCCTGTGCCAAACTGGTTTGCTGCTCCTCTCCTACCTCACGTGCAGCCTGTCCTGCCTGTTACTCCATCCCAAGGGAGCTCTGCCCAGCCCCACAGTGAGCTGTTCTTCCCCCAAAATTTAACTTGCTGCTCTCTCTACCCCAGGCCCTGGCTCAGCCAAGGAGCTTATCAAATCCATCAACGAGAAGTTTGCTGGAGCTGCTAGCTGGGAAGGAACAGAGGCATATCCTTTACTGTCTGTGCCAGCCTGGCTGGCTGTGGGGCCTGGCTGCCCTTGCAGGCAGGCACTGCATGTGGGGCTGTGCTGCCTCACCTGGGAGCAGGGAAATTCCATCCAAACCTTGCTGCTCCTATACCAAACATGAGCTCTGCACCTTCCCATTGGGTTCTGTTGGGGCAGGAGGGGATTTTCAGGCTGGTTGTGCCCAGCCTGTAGCTGTACAGCTTGCGGTGGTACTTTCCTTGACTCTTGTCACCTTAAAGAAGCCAGAAGACAAGAAGCAGCTGGGGGACTTCTTTGGCATGTCCAACAGCTATGCAGAGTGTTATCCTGCCACGTAAGGAACAGTGGGGTGGGAGCAGGGTGTGCTGAGGGGAGTGGGGTGTGCTGAGGGGCTGCTGTTCTCTGGTAGCAAGAAGATGAGCAGCAGCCCCACTACTTCCTGAGGGATAGATACTGTTGCAGTATACATATAAGAATATATATATATATA